GGTCTAGACACGGAGAAACTGATAATATTGTCTGGTTTTAACAATTGTGATTAAAAAAAAACAAGCAACAACAGTTATTGTTGTAATTTGAACTGAAAAACCTCTAAGAGGAGAGAGGTTTCAAATCACCTACAATAATGAGCCAAATAATATTTAGAAAACAAGCTTTCTGCTGAATTTTGTGTTGGAAAATAGTAAAGATATAGCTGTATTTTGGCTTAAAGCATTGTTTCCAATTAGTTTTTGTTTCTTATTAGCACTGAGATGGAAATGCAGCTCCCACCTCACGAGGGAGACGAGCTCTCAGTGGTGGACATGCACGCAGGTGGAGAGCCTTTACGGGTTATCGTCAGCGGCTATCCAGAGGTCAAAGGTGACAGTGTGCTGTCCAAACGCCGCTACGTCGGGAACATCTGGACCACCTCAGGAGGGTGCTGATGTACGAGCCGCGGGGACACTATGACATGTACGGAGCCCTGATCGTGGCCAGCGAGATCCCCGAGGCTGACCTTGGGGTGCTGTTCATGCACAACGAGGGGTACAGCACCATGTGTGGCCACGCCGTCATCGCACTGGGACGCTTCGCTGTGGACTACAAAATAGTGAAAGAGCCACAGTCACCAGAGACCCAAGTGAACATACACTGTCCCTGTGGCCTGGTGAAGGCGTTTGTCGAGTACTCCGGTGGTAAAACAGGAGGAGTAAGGTTTCTCAGTGTGCCCGCGTTTGCATTCGCCACAGGTAGGGCCCTCAAAACTGTCCTCTGGTATTTCTAATCTTCTGCAGGAATGTAACTGCGGAACTTCTCCTCCCAGATGTGACGGTGACTGTGGAAGGGTTTGGTGATGTGACTGTGGACATCAGCTACGGAGGGGCCTTCTACGCCTTTGTAAACGCCCAGAGGTTTGGCCTCGATGTGGCCGAGTCCAGGACTCGAGATCTGGTAGACGCAGCCACAGCAGTGACCAACGCCGTCAAAACTCAGGTAACAAGTTCATATTTCAGCCTGTGTTAAATCCACAGTAGTCTCTGTGCTGACACAGAAACGTTAGCAACAGAATGTTACAGGTGCTAGATGGAATCTAAAAAAAGCACATTTCCTAAAGTAAACCATTGTTTCCCTAATAAATAATGTACCTCTTAACTCTTAAAATAACATCCATCATTTAGATTTAGTGGAAGCCACAGTGTGAAGAATGTGAAATAAAGGCCAGTGAAGGAGGGCTGATTAACACAGAATATCTTGTGTACTGCACCTTTTTTTATTCATGAAATAAGCATTTAACAAGAATATACACAGATGAGCCATAACAAAATGACCACCTGCCTGATATTGTGCAGGTTCCCCTATTGCCGGCAAAACAGCCCTGATCCGTGTAGTCATGGACTCCACTAGACCTCTGAAGGTGTGCTGTGGTATTGGCACCAACACATTAGCAGCAAATCCTTTAAGTTTCGAGGTGGAGCCTCCATAGATCGGACATGTTTGTCCAGCACATCCCACAGGTGCTTGATTGGATTGAGATTTGGGGAATTTGGAGGCCAAGTCAACACCTTGAACTCTTTTTTTGGGTTTCTCACACCATTCCTGAACCATTTTTGCTTTGTGGCAGGGCACATTGCTTCTTCCCATAGTGCATCCTGGTGCCGGGTGTTCCCCAGGTAGCCTAAGCGATGCACACGCACCTGGCCATCCACATGTTTGAAAAGAAAACGTGATTTATCAGACCAGGCCACCTTCTTCCACTGCTCTGTGGTCCAGTTCTGATGCTCACGAGCCCATTATATGCGCTTTCAGCAGTGGACAGGGGTCAGCATGGGCACCCTGACTGGTCTGTGGCTACGCATCCTCATATGCAACAAACTGTGATGCACTGTGTATTCTGACACCTTTCTATCAGAACCAGCATCAACTTTCTTAGCAGTTTGATCTGAAGTAGCTTGTCTGTTGGATCGGACCACACGGGCCAGCCTTCGCTCCCCCCGTGCATACATGAGCCTTGGCCAGTCATGACCCTGTAACGGTGTACTGCATTTCCTTCCTTGGATCACTTTTGATAGGTGCTGACCACTGCAGAATGTTTTGGAGATCTGAATCAGTCATCCAGCCATCACAGACTGGCCCTTGTCAAAGTCGCTATAAATTTGCTTGATAATTTTTCCTGCTTCCGACACATCAACCATGAGGACACAATGTTCATACGCTGCCTAATATATATCACACCCACTGGCAGGTGCCATGGCAATGACCTGTCAGTCAACTACCTCTCCGTGTTCATAATGTTATGGCTGATTGGTGTACATGACAGTGTCTTTAGAGGGCTCTTGTGTGCATTTGTTCCAGACGTATGCGTTACATTTGCTTCAGTGGGGTTGAAGTCAGGGCCAGGGAAAGAAGTATCAGGAACCAAAGTATATGTAAAGGCGTTGTCCACATTGTGTATGTTGATTCAAAAGCCTTGCTGTTTTCTCCCCTAGGTGAAGTTGCACCACCCATCCAGTGAGGATCTGGCCTTCCTCTATGGCACCATTCTCACAGACGGCAAAGACAATTACTCCTCTGATCCCACTGCCAATATCTGTGTGTTCGCAGAAGCACAGGTACCCGACTGACACTGCTCCTGAGCAAATACCAACTCGTCGTTTGACACTTAAAGGAGCGATGTCTGAAACATTTACCATCTACATTTAGTGTACTAAGATGATGATGTTGTGTTGGAAGAATACTAAAGGAGGACACTAACTGTGTTTTTGTATTATCTTGACCTGGTTTTTAACTGGTTTAAACGTCAGGTGGACCGAAGTCCTACTGGTTCCGGTGTTACAGCCCGAGTGGCTCTACAGTATCACAAAGGTCTCATCCAGCTGAACCAGACCAGGATGTTTCAGAGTGGAGCTACTGGATCCCAGTTCACAGGGAAAGCTGTCGAGGTACCAGAGTTTTCATCTTCTGCCTCGAGCTCGATGTTTTACAGGTCCAGAGTCGACTCATATGTGTATGGGCAGGGGGTGGGGTGAGTGTTCTTTTGCCCCGCTCTTGCACTGATAAGATGGGTGAAAGGTTTCTGGGTCGGCTGTCACGGTCAGAAAGTGCCATTAACCAAAGATCAGGAGATCTTTATCCCTTCCTTATCCTCAGTCATCAGTCGCTTCAGTGTGTTAAACAGGTCAGAGCGTTTGTTGTAAAACACTGCGGAAAGACTGTAAACGCTTTCTTCTAAAGCACTAAACTGGTTTTAATACTGAGTGAAAGACACATTTTCTGAACACTAATATTTAAATCTCTTGTGGACGGTAAAGTCAATATAAAACTATATGCATATATCACTGTCTTAAGATAACAAGTCAGATCATCAAGACCCAATTAGATGGTTGGATTTACATTAAATTAGGGACTTTGTAGGCCCACTGAATATTTGTTCAACATATTACAATATAAATGAGCTTTATTTTAATTCATGAAAACAAATTGTTGTCAGCTAGGGCAGGGTGATGTGGCCATAAATGATTATAATAAAAATTATCATCATGATAAAAATTTCATCATTAGATATCAATAATTAATCCTGAGTGAAAGTGGTTTTAAAACAATTATAATGATAAACATAATGTTATCGTGAGTAAAATTAAGTAAAGTCCTTTTTCAGTCCCTTTTCCTCAACAAGATAAATATACTAATTGAAAAATTAAGTGGTAATTAGCTTGTGATTCAAATGAATTAAATCAAACATTTATTGGACATTTGTTATATTGTTATTGAGGAAAATTATATCACAATAATTATCATTATTGTTTTATTGCCCAGCCCTATAGCATATTATTATATTGTACACATTTCTATTTCATGGTGGACTCTCCCTGTGGCATTTGAGCTGGCTTTATACTGTGATCAGACGACCTTGACAAGTCACTCATAAATGTGGTTTATGTACCTCGCTAACCGGTGATTGGTTCACCTGCGACCCATAAACCCTCAGAAATAGACAAACGTGAACCTAAGTGATGAAGCCGGAGTGCCAGAGACGCTTTGTCTTACAAACTTCTGTTCACGTAGGTGTGTTTGTGATTCTCCTTTCTGTTCAGGAGACCAAGTGCGGAGACTTCAAGGCTGTAGTGGTGGAAGTTGCCGGCAGAGCTTTTTACACCGGATTTCCCGATTCGTGCAGGAGCCAGACGACAAGCTGACACGAGGTTTTCTGCTGAAGTGAGCCTCAATTACAGGTTATTAAACATGTTTATACAAATATATACTGAATCCATAATAAACAGCGTTGAAGAGATGGTAGCAGTCATTTCTGTTTTCATAGTTCATTATAACCTGATTGACCTAAATTAAGAAATGTTTTGCATTCCATTGTGCATTACATACATGAACTAGGATAGAGACAGCACATTGAGAATCTGTTCAGCATGAGAAATTGTGTTTTTATGGATTGTATTTTACAGAAATGTAATCGTTTTAAATTGGTCATTTATTTTATTTGATACTGCATTGACTTTAATAAATGTACTGTAAGGCCATCTCGTGTCTGAGCCAATGCTATGCTAGCAATTTTGAGGGATTTTACTTTTGAAATGTAAAATGTTTAAATTCACCAAATTCAGCAATTCCGTATTCCTTAAACTGCATTGTCACTTTTGACTTCAAGGTTGTAATAATCAATAACTGTTATTGAGCTATTAAGCATTGAACAACATATGGAGGAAAAAAAACTTAAAGAGCAGTTTAAAATGTATTTGCTGACAACATGTGAATGTTTGCAGACTGTAACATTGTTGGATTTGTCTTAAATTTAAGAAGGCGGCAGTCAGGTATCCTGTTCAGTAGCAGTCATCGACCACTAGATGGAGCCAGGAGCCTGGCTGCCGTCAGGATCATGAAAACATGATCCTCTGTCCTATTCAGAGTCATGGTGGTAATAAATGACTTTTTGAACCTTAGTAAATGCTGAATAAGAATTCATTCAAGTGCTTGTTAACTAAACACAAAAGCTCATAAGTGTTTTCTCCCATTTATTATCATCAGGTCGTTGTACAATGGAAGGCAATATTTAAATTATAAAAGTCCAACGTTGGTGTTTGACACTGGATGGATTGACGCAGCCAAGGGGACAAATTAAAATCAAGGGTTTTTACTTCCACATGTGACGTTTTCTACAAGAATGAAAACATCACATGTGGATCACAGAGTTTAAAATCAGGGTTTGGTTTCTTGTTTTGTTTCGCGGTGTGAATCCAGCCAGTGTAAAGAAAACATTTCATCTTTTCAGTAAAAACGTAAAGGAGGGAACTCCCTTCAGATGGGAAAAAAACAAGTGTATTGCATTGATTGGGTATGGTTTTAATGGCATTTAGCATAGTAATTATGAATTTATATGTGCATGTGTAACAACCTTATATATAGATATATGTAATCTATGACATGAGTTTCCACACTTATTGAGAAATTGGGGATTAGGCCCAGGCCTTTGAAAGTACCCTTTCAACAGTTAAAATCAACAGAGTTAAGGCCAGCTCTTAACAGGGAAAAGGTTCAAATAAAACATACAGTGATCAGATATATAAATGCTGCACGTCAATGATGAATAGAAAAGAAACCTGCCTCTCAGCTGCGCCCCTTGCAGTCAAAACCACGTCTGTCTAACAACGCTGCGTCTCAGTCTTGTGATGGTTCTGACTGCAAGAGAACGGTAGCGTCCAGAGGAAGTTCGGATCCAGTCTTTCTCTGAAAATGATCTCTTGGACAATTCAGGCGTGTGAAAGCAGCCCCTCTCAATCTATGAAATCAGTCCATACAAAATGGCCCCTTGTGTTTTTAATGGAATCATCTTCCTGTTTGGATCGAGCATCAAGCCCTGAAGGAGTCTTACTAGCTGCACATTTCACTCTGTGCATAGATTCTGACGTACAAAAACAGCACAGAATAGTTTCTATCAGACAGCCTGTAATCAAACGCATGTCTTACACCTGGAAGGGAACCTTTCTCCGGTGGGGAAAAACAGCTTCTTAAAACATTTCATTTGACCAAACTGATCCTCCAGCGGGAACGATCCGATTTGGTCGTTAACAACAACTTTTGGCTTCTGTTCCACATCAAACTCTCAGAGGATGAAAGATCTAAACGTGCTGTGGGTGGTTCTGCAGCGGTGAAGCCGAGCTGGGTGGGAATGGAGGAGGGTGCAGAGGAATGTGCATGTCAGTTTGACCCAAGGCAAACTAAGGGGTGGGTGGGGTGGGGAGAAGATGACCTCAACCCCACTTAGAAGTTGAGCTTTGTGACCGGTCGCTCTCTGCTTGAGTCTGTGGTCTGGCTGTTGATGCGCTTGCGGTTGCGTTTCATCTTGGACAAGTCCTTGTCGAAGACCTCGCCTGATCGCAGCGCTGACACCAAGTCATCAAACTCGCCTCCGTCGTCCTCACCGTTGGCCTTCGCTTTCCGGGCCTTTCGCTCCTTCTCCCTCTGCTCTTTCAGCTGGGGAAACAGAAATAAAAATCATTGTAATTTAAAGAACAACTCCCTCTGTATAAATTTACCTTTGCATCAAATAAATAGTTTGACATTATGGGAAATTCATTTATTTGTTTTCTTGCAAAGAGATATTTGAGAAGATCGATAACATTCATATCTGTGTGTTCAATATGAAGCTACAGTCACAAGAGTGGCATCGATCTTCTCGTCTAACATTACAGAAAGCTAAAAAACATATTACAGCGAACACTGTGGCCACAAGTGGATATTACAAAATAATGACAAATTTGAATTTCCCTTAATTTCACAAGAATCTCCATAATACTCCATAATTATACACTAAGTGTTTTATAACATCTGTGGATCTGATAATATGGAAACTGGGAACGGTCACATACTTGAGCTTCCATTTTGGCCCTGCGCTCCTCCTCCTCTTTGCGTTTTCGTATGTTCTCGTTCTCCTGCTGAGCCTCACCGAACGACTGCAGGAACTGGTCAAAGATGCCAAAGAACTCATCTGGCTGCATCTTATTGGCATCCTCACCAAAGTGCTTTACTGCCCTCAGGAACTGAGGGACCAAAGAGAAGGGGGCAGACAGGATCAGATTTACAGCAGGACACAGTAGAAGCATGTTTTACTCAGTCTTTGACTGTTTTATAGGAGACTCATTAGGTCTCAGCTCTTTGAAATAAGAGCCTGGTACAGAGTAGCTGGGCTTTGAAGCCCATGTTAACCCAGATCTGACCAGCTACTGATTACAGCTGAGGCCAGAGACCGGAGCCAGAGTCCAAATTAAGGCAAGCAGAACATCCAGATGTGAGATCATGCTGAGAACATGTATCTTCCAAGATGTGTATATTAACAGCAGCTCTGTCTGTGACACACACACACACACACACACACTCTCTCTCTCAGGTGGAGCAAAAATGCATTTAAATTACTTAAATTATTTGGTGCCCCCCCCCCCAATAGGACATTATCTATATAATTATAAAAATGCCTAAAAAGGTCACTTTTATACTTTACATCCTGATAAATCTGCAACAACTTTATTATATGCTCACATACACAAACCAGATGCGTGTTCTCTGTTTCAGAGGACCACTGTAAACGCTCTCAAATATTTAACTGTGGGACACCGTAAATGATTCACAGAAACTAATGGTTGCCATGTGACCAGCTGAGCTCTTGGGTCAACGTAGCACACAGACACACTATGGGGCGAAAAACATGCTCAAGATAAAAACTCCTCCCGGCTTGCACCAATAAATGTGGACAGGCGCATAAATATAACGTCAAGCTCTCCCTAGAAAGGTGAATATTCTCAGGTTTCTAGTAGTAAAAAGCCTGTGTCCCTAAAAATGGCTGCAAAATCCAGTTTCTTATTCTTTTGCTTCAGCCTCTCATTTTCACAAAGGCCACCTACAGTGAAATGTAACAAAGTTTGATAAAAGCATTCAGAAAATGACATGTTAGGTTGGAAGGTATGATTAAGCCCCACAAAACCATGATGCATTGAGACACACAATGTCCAAACAGTGCTGAACATATTGGTGTAAAATAATGATTGAAAGATAGCGATATCTGGCATTTTGAATCGGTCAATACATCACGATGGTGATATATAAACCCCTGCAGGCAGACTTGTCAGTGTGGCTGCTGTGGAACAATGTTAGCGCTGTAAGTTTTGGGAAGGTGGTGAAAAAGTTGGTTTGAAACCCTAAATGTCTTCACTCACCATAGTCTTTTCTAAAATCTAATCTGAAACCATTACTGGCTAGCGTTAAATATATATTGTTATACTGTAGAAAATGATGCAGTTGAATGACATCACTTCAGACTAACTGTACCTCACTCTCCAGTAAACGGCAGTCACGTTCTGAAATATACAGCAGAAACAGATGTATTTTAATAACAATTCAGTCTAAAACAACACGTTACTGGCTGAGCTAACCATGTATATTAGATTGTACTCTGCATGGACTAATATCTAACACTGTTCCTGGTTTCTGTCTTGACCTGGACACATGGCAACAAGCAGGCTGACCAATGAAGTGTCAGTGGTGCTGCGGCAGGAAGCTGAAAACACTTCACTTCTGCTGTTAGCTTTCCTACAAAAAGGTGTCAATGAAGCGTGTAGAAACAGCTGCGTGGAGAGGAAATGGGATGCAAGCTGTCAGCGTTCGTGTCTACAAGTGATAGTGCTGCTGTCCGGTCTGCTCAAAGACACGTACAGACGCAATGACTTACCAGTTCCTTGGCCTCCGTGAGAGAGTCCTCCACGTCGGAGAAGCTGAAGCTGGCCACGGTGATGAACTGACTCACCACCGACACAAACTTGTCGCCCAGCTCCTGCGGTCGATTCTTCTGGTATTCCAGCTCCTAACAGTGAAAATGATCCAGGAGAGGAAGTTAAAGGAAATAATGAGAGGAGAGCACCGGCGCTAAACATTGTATAACAGCCCGACCGATAGGGAACATGTTATCTCATAGATCTGTGTGACTCACGCTCTCCACACTTTTCAAGCCGCTGCGCAGGTTGCCAATATCTTTTTCCAGCTCAGTCATGCTGCAGAGAAAGAAGAGAGAAGAAGTTTAATACAAAACAGAAAGCAAACAAGAGAAGCAGATGTGTGTCAGGCAGCAGGTTCTCCACCTACTTGACTTTGGCTGCCACTGAGATACTCTGCAGGTCCTCCTGGAACATCAGGACTTTGGGGTATTTCTTCTCCAGGATGGTGATCAGGTAGTGCAGGAGAGTGATGTTTCTGCAAACGTGCAAGAGGCACAGACACACTGAGGCGGGCTGACCTTCAAGGCAGCAATTATGTCAAGTGTGCAATAAATTGCTTTTATTATGTAGGATCAGATATGAATAACCATACGGCATTTCATAAGAATCCCATTCCCTGTTCCAGATGTGACTTTTATCTATTGTTTTATTTCATGCCGTTCTCTCCGTTACTGCCTGAAACATGTGATGTTACAATTGAAAAAGGTTCTTACTTGTCGATACTGGATTTGGTATCAGCAATCTTGTTGAGTGAAGACACTTTGAAGCCGTAAGCGTTCCCCCTCTGACCCTTGTTCATGAAGTTTCCAAAGGCCAGCACCACCTCCAGCAGCTGCTTCAGGTTTCTGCTGTGTAAAATCTCCTTAGACGCCTTGGCCAGAGCTGAGATGAAAACATAACCATTAATGTTTTCAGGCACTTTAAGGGTCCACGCTGATTTACTTTCAGACTTAAACCATCAGTGGTTAGATAGATAGATGTAAAATTAAATACAATACAAATATAATTTCAGATATCTATATCTCTATATATATATCTATCTATCTATCTATATCTATATATATATATATCTCTATATATATATATATATACATACACACACACACACACACATACACACACACACACACACACAGTGGGTACGGAAAGTATTCAGACCCCTTTAAATTTTTCACTCTTTGTTTCATTGCAGCCATTTTCCAAAAATCAAAAAAGTTCATTTTATTTCTCAGTAATGTACACTCAGCACCCCATCTTGACAGAAAAAAACAGAAATGTAGAAATTTTTGCAAATTTATTAAAAAAGAAAAACTGAAATATCACATGGTCATAAGTATTCAGACCCTTTGCTCAGTATTTAGTAGAAGCACCCTTTTGATCTAATACAGCCATGAGTCGTTTTGGGAAAGATGCAACAAGTTTTTCACATCTGGATTTGGGTATCCTCTGCCATTCCTCCTTGCAGATCCTCTCCAGTTCTGTCAGGTTGGATGGTAAACGTTGGTGGACAGCCATTTTCAGGTCTCTCCAGAGATGCTCAGTTGGGTTTAAGTCAGGGCTCTGGCTGGGCCATTCAAGAACAGCCACGGAGTTGTTGTGAAGCCACTCCTTCGTTATTTTAGCGGTGTGCTTAGGGTCATTGTCTTGTTGGAAGGTAAACCTTCAGCCCAGTCTGAGGTCCAGAGCACTCTGGAAAAGGTTTTCGTCCAGGATATCCCTGTACTTGGCCGCATTCATCTTTCCCTCGATTGCAACCAGTCGCCCTGTCCCTGCAGCTGAAAAACACCCCCACAGCATGATGCTGCCACCACCATGCTTCACTGTTGAGACTGTATTGGACAGGTGATGAGCAGTGCCTGGTTTTCTCCACACCGCTCCACTTCTATCTTGGTCTCATCAGACCAGAGGATCTTATTTATCACCATCTTGGAGTCCTTCAGGTGTTTTTTAGCAAACTCCATGCGGGCTTTCATGTGTCTTGCACTGAGGAGAGGCTTCCGTCGGGCCACTCTGCCATAAAGCCCCGACTGGTGGATTGCTGCAGTGATGGTTGACTTACTACAACTTTCTCCCATCTCCCGACTGCATCTCTGGAGCTCAGCCACAGTGACCTTTGGGTTCTTCTTTACCTCTCTCACCAAGGCTCTTCTCCCCCGATAGCTCAGTTTGGCCGGACGGCCAGCTCTAGGAAGGGTTCTGGTCGTCCCAAACGTCTTCCATTTGAGGATTATGGAGGCCACTGTGCTCTTAGGAACCTTAAGTGCAGCAGAAATTTTTTTGTAACCTTGGCCAGATCTGTGCCTTGCCACAATTCTGTCTCTGAGCTCTTCAGGCAGTTCCTTTGACCTCATGATTCTCATGTGCTCTGACATGCACTGTGAGCTGTAAGATCTTATATAGACAGGTGTGTGGCTTTCCTAATTAAGTCCAATCAGTATAATCAAACACAGCTGGACTCAAATGAAGGTGTAGAACCATCTCAAGGATGATCAGAAGAAATAGACAGCACCTGAGTTAAATATGAGTGTCACGGCAAAGGGTCTGAATACTTATGACCATGTGATATTTCAGTTTTTCTTTTTTAATAAATTTGCAAAAATTTCTACATTTCTGTTTTTTTCTGTCAAGATGGGGTGCTGAGTGTACATTACTGAGAAATAAAATGAACTTTTTTGATTTTTGGAAAATGGCTGCAATGAAACAAAGAGTGAAAAATTTAAAGGGGTCTGAATACTTTCCGTACCCACTGTATATGTGTATATGTGTGTGATATATATATATATATATATATATATATATATATATATATATGTATATGTGTGTGTATATATATATATATAAAACATGTTTGAGTTAATGTCATTGGTGTATGAAACTATGAGACTTCTCACCTTCAACTTTGGGTTTGATCTCAGCTATCCTCTCTGCAAACTTCTTTTTGAAATATAGAGACTGCAGCCTCTGCTGGTAGTGGTTTATTCTGTACACGGGATGGAAAATGCATGTCACAGGAGGATGAAAATAGACAAAAATAATAAATTATAAACAGGGAAATCCACAATTTAGACAGAAGCCACAAACATGGACATTGTGCTTGAGCAGAACAAAGCGAGCTGCCTGTGTGCTTATTAAATGGCGCATATAAAGTTTAAGTTGCGGTAATGAAGCTTATTTTTGGCAGTGTTTTTGTTATTTCAGCTTATAAACCACGGACTCTGCAGCTAATGAACGCCACAGTGACATCTGTCCTCCAGACCATTCTGTACTGAGTAAACTCAAATGACAAACTGCCAAACTACATTAAATCATTAAAAACAAAACATAAAACAAACTGTACTATTCTGCATTTAACTGACACGTATGTTTCTACTGTCCCTGTGCTGCAGGAGGGTCAGTTACTTTAGTTTCTCAGTTGTGACACGTTTCCTTTGTTCCCCTTATCTCACAGGACTTTGTTTAGTATAAACTGCAACATAAATACTGTTATTACATTATGGACTCATTTATTCTCCAACACAATTTAGAAATAGTGATTCACACACATAGCTATTGTTCCCGGCTAAGTCGAAACCCATGTCTCATTTCCTTTATCTGCTCTGACTAAGAGGAAACAATGGCTATTGTTTGTCAGCACATCTGATTTGCAGCGTGCTGCACTGACCTGAAGATAGCAGTTCTGAGGTTAGTATCCAATTACTGCAGAATTCAAAAAGGCAGCACATGAGAAAGAAAAACTGTATGAGTAAAGTACCTGCTCATTTCATAGAGGAAGCGGTCTGGTTTTGCCATTCGGTCGAGCTCATGTTTGTGCTCCTCCAGAAGATCCACATCGCTCTTCTCTGGGATGAACTTCAGCAGCTGACGGGGCAGTAAAAGTCCATTTTAGTATTTAACACACATTCATCTGTACGTCACCAGTTAATGACAGTGGAAGGATTTATCATCATGTGTCAGTCTATCGTAGCATTTTTTCATACACTGGTATGTTTCTCAAGTGAGAAACTTAAAACATACTGTTATCAGATTTATAACAATGTATGTCACTTAGCACAAAATTTTGGCACAGTGACAACGCATGTTTCTGAATTTCAAATCTTCAGTGGCAGAAACCGACTTATTTAGACTTCTTGAAGCTTTTTTGTGTTAGTTTCAGTATTACTTTGGATTGAATTATATTGAATAAGATGATGTATCGCTACATTATGATCTTTCCTTTCTTCCTGTTGACTTCCAGCTTTCACAGATACTTTCCCTGTCTGAAGTCTTTGTCCTGCACATGCGAACATATAAAAGGTCGTAAAAAGGCATGGTTATCTATACATCTGTGATCTCCCTGAGAAAATCTACCTTGGGAAAACAGGTTTCTCTAATTCCCTACCCCAATAACGAAAACCAGGAAGCCTGCTGACGTACCTGCTCCAGCATGTCTTTGGGAAGGTCCTCCTGTTCGTCCATGGTTAGAATGGCTCTCTTGATCTCCTCGTTTGAAAGCTTCAGCCTGCAGCACACAACAGATGAGTCCAGTTTAAATATACAGGTGAAACTTGAAAAATTTGCATATCGTGCAAAAGTTCATTTATTTCAGTAATTCAACTTAAAAGGTGAAACTAATATATTATATAGACTCATTACATGCAAATCTCAGAAAATTTCAATATTACATGAAATCAATAAAAAAAAAGGATTTCAAAAACAGAAATGTCAGCCCTCTGAAAAGTATAATCATGCATATGTACTCAGTACTTGGTTTGGGCCCCTTTTGCATGAATTACTGCCTCAATGCGGCGTAGGCATGGATGCTATCAGCCTGTGGCACTGCTGAGGTGTTATGGAAGACCAGGATGCTTCAACAGCGGCCTTCAACTCTTCTGCATTGTTCGGTCTCATGTCTTTCATCTTTCTCTTGGCAATGCCCCATAGATTCTCTATGGGGTTCAGGTCAGGCGAGTTTGCTGGCCAATCAAGCACAGTAATCCCATGGTCATTGAACCAGGTTTTGGTACTTCTGGCAGTGTGGGCAGGTGCCAAGTCCTGCTGGAAAATGAAGTCAGCATCTCCATAAAGCTCGTCTGCTGAAGGAAGCATCAAGTGCTCTAAAATGTGCTGGTAGACGGCTGCGCTGACTCTGGACTTAATAAAGCACAGTGGACCAACACCAGCAGATGACATGGCTCCCCAAACCAACACAGACTGTGGAAACTTCACACTGGACTTCAAGCATCTTGGATTGTGTGCCTCTCCATTCTTCCTCCAGACTCTGGGACCTTGGTTTCCAAATGAGATGCAAAATTTGCTCTCATCAGAAAAGAGAGACTTTGGACCTTGGACCAGTTCTTGTTTTCTTTAGCCCAGGTAAGACGCTTCTGACGTTGTTTGTTGTTCAGGAGCGGCTTGACAAGAGGAATACGACATTTGAAGAATGTCCAGGACCCGTCTGTGTGTGGTGGCTCTTGATGCAGTAACTCCAGCCTCAGTCCACTCCTTGTGAAGCTCCCCCACATATTTGAATGGCCTTTTCCTGACAATCCTCTCCAGGCTACGGTCATCCCTGCTGCTTGTGCACCTTTTTCTTCCACACTTTTCCCTTCCACTTAACTTTCTATTAATGTGCCTTGATACAGCACTTTGAGAACATCCAACTTCTTTTGCAATTACCTTTTGAGGCTTTGCCTCCTTGTGGAGGGTGTCAACGATGGTTTTCTGCACAACTGTCAGGTCAGCAGTCTTCCCCGTGATTGTGAATTACACTGAACCAGACTGAGAGACCAATTAAAGGCTCAGGAACCCTTTGAAGGTTTTTTGGATTAATTAGCTGATTAGAGTGTGACAATTTGAGCCTACAATACTGAACCTTTTCACAATATTCTAATTTTCTGAGATTTTGAATTTGGGGTTTTCATAAGCTGTAAGCCATAAACATTATACCAAATAAAGGCTTGAAATATCTCACTTTGCATGTAATGAGTCTATATAATATATTAGTTTCACCTTTTAAGTTGAATTACTGAAATAAATGAACTTTTGCACAATATACTAATTTTTGGAGTTTCACCTGTATCATAGCCTAAGATGTGTCAGTAAGTGATGCTTGATGATGATGCAATAAAACGTACCGCGAGAGGAGGATGTTGCAGTTTTGAGCTCGACGGCCATCAATGAGTGACAGCTCCTTGACTTTTTTAGAGCTCAGCGTGTCGTCCTCTGCCTCTTTCTGTGAGCAAAGTGACGAAGAGCTTAGAGGGCAACAGGCTATTTGAACACGCACCTTTTAGTTTTAGGTTCAGACGGTCAGACACACAACGACACGTGCCCTAAAAGCCCAAACATGAAAATACAGTACAAAGGCTTTGAGAACACACATTCATGAGTACATGCAAACACGACACACACAAAAAGTCTCACAGGCTGCATATTCTGTTGGACACACTTTAAGTAATAAGATGTAGCTGTAAGTAAAATAGACATGAACATAACATATAAATAAAGTCTGATTGAATACACTTGGAGCGACACAATTCCAGACTGTACATCTACGGTACTGTAAGTGCACTCACCTGTTTGCTGTTATTGATCATAAAGAAGTCCTAAAATGCAGGCAGGAAGCAGGGAAGATGTAAGCACTCATTAGAATAAGTAAAGCAGTTACATGATTGCAGCCCATAAAAAACAAACAGCAAAATGAATCAGAGCTCATTCAGCACTTAGATGACGGGTGGTCAATCAGTAATGAAGTAAGAGGCAGTGAGACATGTGGTTGTTCAGTTGATGAATGCATGCTTATGATTCACATGCTGGGCATGTAAGAAATCTGTCGAGTATGTAGTTTTTGTTTTGGCATTTTTCTGTTTAATCAGGCTAATCAAGTCAGGATCTATCTTTGTGTTGGTGAAAGTCACATTTCCAGTTAATTATCTTTTTTTTAACATCTTATAATGTGTGTTGGACATGCTGAAGGTCATGTTTGAACACTGGTTGGGTTGAGCTGGAACAACAAGGACATGCTCATTCTCCTTGGTAATGAAGACACTACGTATTATGGAGAAATGGGAACTAAATGAATTGCAAACTAAAGCCGAGCAGCTCACTCATGCACTTTCAATCATATATGGCAGAAAGTTCAAAACCACAAAGAAAAATAGCAAAATTTGCATTCCAGTAGATGATTCAAGCAACGTTTTGCATCTAATAAACCCTTAAATCTATCTGGCAATTTCTCCCTTCTACTTTTTTGACTTTTGAAAATGCTTCGACCTCTTCCCTTCTCCCTGCTATGGATGACCTGAGAGGCAAGTGAGGGAACTTAAGAACAAGTGAAAAAAAAAAGGTTTTGTCATGACAATCTTTATAAGTTTCTTAGATGTTTTTTTTTTTCCATCTGTGAAACAGGCAGAGAAAAACGTTTTGGCAGCTGGAAGAAAACACTTTTGGTCCTATTTACAACATAGGGTAATGGTAATGGTGCACTTCAGCCTCTTGTGGCCAAAATAATTATTACAACAACAAATGCTGACAAAAACAATAAAATGTTTTCACAGAAATTAACTTAGAATAATGATCCTGGGTTTACCTGTTCTTAAGTCATAAACACAGGAGAGATAACTATTTAGATCAGACTTAGGAAATGGATCACCAGAATAATTTTTTCTCACTTGCCTCACAGTACGTCCATACCCTTCTATAACTTTGCTTGAGAAATTTGCAAAAACGAAATGCAGACCAGCTGAGCCCACAGCCACCCATCCCACCCAATCAATTGGCCCTTCCCCGTCTCTCTCTCTGACACTAGACGGCGACATTTGGTGAGTTTGGGAGATGAAATGCATCATCCTCAGTACCTGCTGTCTCTGATAGGCTGAGAAGGTCTTTTCAATGTCATCCAGATCCAGGATTTTGAAAACCTTGGCATCGTCCACCTCCATCCACACAGTGCCCTCCAGTTTGTTCTGAGCCGAGGAGAATAAGACATTTTTATCTCCTATTTTAACACACAGCATTACTATATTCTATAATATTGTGACTCTCACCTCAGCTAATTTGGACCAGTTGAAGGATTTGAGCGGATTGGCTGGCTGGGGAATGTTCTTTGTCTTCAGGGACGGTCCTAGGGGTGCTCCTGGAGGGGGGGGGATACCCCCGAAGGGTGGGCGTCCAGCAGGAGGCAGTGGTCCACCTGGAGGAGGGGGTGGGGGAGGTGGAGGAGGCATCATGCCCCCAGAAGGTGGCGGCGGGGGAGGTGGACCCATACCTGCAAAAGCAGGTGTGGGTGGAGGAGGCAGAGGGCCACCGGGGGCCCGGGGGGGAGGGGAGGTCCTCCAGGAACAACAGCTGCCTGTCTCTGCAGGGAGAGATTAATGCCGGGCAGATTTGAAACAGAGAGATATTAGAGCTTCTAATATTACAGTTATGGTAATATTAGCATAACAAGAACACACAATCATATATATTGGTATATAATATTTATATTATAATATATATTTCATATATAATATTTTCTGTACAAATCCCTACAGATGCCTTATGTCCTGGAACACTGGTTTCGGACCTGAGGGATCAGAAGATAATTAAAGAAAAAATTTTGTGGTGTTTCTTATCAAACCACAGTGTACTTTTCCCTCTTCAGGCTTCTAATATAGAATACCAATGTCTGGGGGGCAGAGTACTTGCTTTTTGTAATAACACGTTTTTTTTTACTTTTTCAGTTTGCATATGCCTTTGTGAAGTTAAAAAATGGATGTCAAATAATTTCCTCCAGCTGAACTCAGACAAAACAGAAATCCTGGTCATCGGGTCTCAGCAGATGGCAAATCAAATACTGCCATCTGCTGGTTCCCTAGTAAATCACATTAAGCCTGTGGCAAAGAACCTTGGTGTTTGGTTTGATAGTAATTTAAATTTCGAGCAGCACAACACAAAGCTTGTTCAATCATGTTTTTATCAACTTAGAAATATAGCAAAATTCGATCTATGTTAACCTTTAAGGACACCGAGACCATTTTACACGCCTTCATCTCATCACGCCTGGATTATTGCAACAGCCTTTTCACCTGTTTAACCCAAAAATCTATTGATCGACTCCAGACTGTCCAGAACTCAGCTGCCAGGCTTTTAACCAGAACAAAGAAATATGACCACATTACTCCTATTTTAGCTTCATTACACTGGCTCCCAGTATGTTTTAGAATTGACTTTAAAATTCTATTGATCACTTTTAAAGCTCTTCATGGCCTCTCGCCATACGCACCAGCAGGTACCTTGAGATCCTCGGGCAGAGGTCTGTTGTCTGTTCCAGAGTCTCGACTTAAAACTAAAGGGGACAGAGCGTTTGCTGTCAGGGCCCCGAGGCTCTGGAACAGCCTGCCTGAGGAAATCAGGTCGGCCGAGTCAGTGAACTCTTTTAAGTCCCTTCTTAAAACATACTTTTATAGGAGAGCCTTTCCCGATCTTATTTGACTTTATTTTATCCCTTTTATTTCATTCTATTTTACTAATTTTATATGAATTTTTCATGCTCTTATCTTGTTTTTTTGTATTATTCTTTACACTTGTTAAAGCACTTTGTAACTTGTTTTTGAAAAGTGCTCTACAAATAAGGATTATTATTATTATTATTATTATTTATTATATTAGTTTCTTTCTTAAATTCCTCCTGCTTCAAAAACATAGGTCTTTCTTAATGTATACATTTCAGGTGTCCAAATTGTATTCATTGTACAAAATGGCCCTGCGTATTTCACTGACGGGTAATTTGTACTATGGTGACATACTAATGTTACTATTAGTGTTACTATTTTGAGCAATCAACAACATAAAGTAATAAATTAATATGTTATAAGATTGAAGTGTGAAATGGTTTCTATTTTTGCATTTCAGCTTTTTAACTAGGGCATCTGAACATCTGTCACTGCTCTGGACCACCACTGGCTGTGGTGATAATATTCAATCAGGTTGTATTTTAAGGTTATTTTAACGTGACTCCAGTGAATATGAAAGACAACGTACAGTGCTGAGTTCATGCAGTTGGGCAGTGAGTTCGGCCACTTGCTGTTTGACATTCTTGTGCTCGGTGCTCTCCTTTTCCAGCTTCTCTTTCATCTTGTTGAGCGTCTGCATCATGTCCTCTTTCTCTTGAGTCTTTGCGTCACATTCACGCTCCTTCTTTTCAAACTTCTGCTGCAGCTCGTGGTGCTCTGTGATGAGAAGTCACAGCGATATATAGTTTACTAAAAAGGTGAATTTAATGGGCGACCACCTTTAACAAACATATTCTATTTCAGGTTCAAGTCATTTACAGTCTTACTAACCTTTTCTCATTTTCTCTGCCTGCTCTTTCCACTGTTTGACCTCATTTTCATTGACCAGCCTGCAGAGAGGATGACACACACAATCAACTACAGTGTCCACATGAACAACTCCAGTGATTGTTTATCCTAACTTAAAAAAAGGGAAGCTATTTTTGAGCCAACACGGGTGAGCACACAGCGTTTTAACTTCCCAGGAAACACAACACTGTTCTCCATTCTTTAATCTGGCAGCAGAGTAATCTGTTCCATGTACTCATTCATGTGTCTGTTCAGTGGAAATCAGAGGACTCACATCCGGACAACGTTCTTCACGTTAAAATTCTCCAGTGGTGTGACGTCGGGGTCGTGACCTTTGTCATTCTGCAAGACCATCTGCTGGACAATACGGTCCAACAGCAGCCAGTACTGCACAGTGTTACCGCTCCTCTTGTCTGAGGAGAGAGGGAGAGACAGTTTATTAGCCTGCTGGCCTGATTTTTATTATTCAGGATTAGTATGTCCAGTAGCCTCTCAGAAAGCAAAGATTTGAGTTGGATCCACAGCGGCTATTTGATAATGATGAAACAATGGAACGATGTGTCAAGACATCTTCTAAAATTACACTGATGAGCCAAAGAGTGGCGCCATAAATACAGGTTACAACAAGGTGACAAATGTTGTGTTCCTGCTTGGCACATCATGTTAACACACACACACACACACACACTATATAATATGAAGTTAATATTATTTTGATTCCTCTTTCTATTTGAGTACCATAACAAGCTTGCACTTTATGAACTCTTGTATATAACTGCAACACTCGTATTTGCGGCTGAAGTGTTAATTACACTCTTGATGTCCCAGGAAAGTAAAAGAGGGGGAGTCTAATTAAAAAGCCACAGAGAGGGGAAGGAGAGCACTAAAGGAAAAGGGCTACTTCAGCTGTTTGGTGGCTCTTTGATTTCAAGTGAAATTATGTGGGAAAGCTGGCTAACTGTATTCTGACTTGATGCAGTCTCTAGTTTTGAGGAAGCAAAGTATTCAGTTTGGCCTGGAATGTGTTTATCCAATTTCTGGACTGACTAATCTGGACAAAGTCAACATCCTTGGCTAGAAACCAGAAGGTCCAGATGTACTGTGTATTTTGTGAGAGTATTAATACTACCGTGTTTGCCTCATTATATCACAAGATAATTTAAATTCACCGGCATCTTTTAATCACATTTTACACATTAAAGATTTTGAACCCTTATTTTTGTGCGACAGAATTTGTGTATGATGCTGAATTTTAAAGTTTGCAGCCCAGTAATGAATCATTTAAAGAAACACTCACGTGGCATGAGGAGACAGTGGTGCAGGACAGACATAAAGTGCGGGTATGCATCGGTGTGGTTCATCTTCTTGCGGATGAGGTCAAAAACTTGGGTGGCACTTTTCGTGTCTATATGTACCTGGAGGAAAAGCAGTAAAACAACAGCCCCGTGATTATCTACCGCAAAATATTTCACAGAAACAAACGATGCAGGAATTAAGTGAGGAAATTATCTCTTTTTCTCTCCATACCGTCTCATATCGTTTTGACAAAGCCAGCTCGTCCTCGTTCCGCAGCATCTCAAAGTAGTCTAAATGCCTGAGTGTGAGCGGAAAAGAAATTAGAGAGGAAGCCTGCAAATGTGATGCACTAACTTTAAGTTTTACTTGGAAAGATGACAGTCAAATACATTCTCTCTCTAGGACAGTAGTGTTGTCTGCCTATATAAATTGACATGACTAGAGGGTACAATTGCGTTTTTCTGTATTGATACATGACTAAAAGGTTTTCTGGATTACTAAATTCAGACAAACCTTTTCTTATCTAACTCTTACACCAAACTAATCCCTCATATCTTTGATTTCATGCTGTTCAGCTTCTGACTTTTCTCTGTTCCATCTCACCTGTCTAATGTGGAGTTGTCATGAGAACGAAGCTTGTCGATCACAGGTTGGATCCCCAACATGAGAAACTCATACCGTAGGTGGATACGGAATTCCAAACTTGTCTGTATTTGAACAAAATAATAAATTAGCAGAAAAATAGGATGCAAACAATGTTTAACAGTCTCTTGAATGAGTGGCTAAGAGACATGGTGACCTTCTAGTGTGAAAGGAAGCATAAAAACTGTCTAATGTGTATAATTCACCTCTCCAGCGCCTTGACTCAGCACAGCATTTATAAACGACATGATGGCTGTTTTCAGGTTGACCTCATCTCTGTATCGCCCCGTACTCCGGTCCAGATCGTTTATAAGTGTCTGTGGGAGGACAGGTTATTACAGGTGTTAAATATCGTCACACGAGGATGACTTTATCTGTCTGCAAAAGATTTAAAACCCCAACTGTGCACATTGCTTGCTCCCACCCACCTGAAATCGCGTCCTCTCACAGGCGAAGCGTTGGTAGTGCAGCATAGCCTCCAAGATCTTTTTGTGCCCACCAGGCACCAGACACACAGCACCCATGATCTCTAGCACCGCCACCTTGGTCTTGATGTTCTCTGTGGCCAGGCTCTGTGCGATGATGTTGATGCTCTCGGAGTGAGAGAGGACGTGGGCGCGGCCCTGCGAGTTGTTCATCAGAGCTTTGATGCAGCCGATCAGAGACGTGTGGATCTGTGACTCTGTGGTCTCGTAGTCCATGCTCTTCAGGAAGTTTAGGATGCACGTCAGGCCGTCCAGGTCGATAAAACGAGTCACGAACCTGAGGGGGGAGCAAGCACAAAGAAATCATCTTAGTTTAGTGACAAATTAGTTTTAGTGACTTAATCCCAGTACTTACTAAACTAAGACTAGTTTTAATATTAACTATAATTATAATGCTCAGATGTCCTGAAGTACAGCTGTCGTATTACATGCCAAAAAGCAAAATGTGTGTATATTTATGCATGTCCACTGGTCCAGTCTTTGTTTCCTTGTCCAACTAAATCATCTTCAGTAAATGTAATAAGCAACTCAAGACATTTGCTATTAAAGTGAAGTGAAAAGCTCAAGGTGCTGAAATAGAAAGCAAATGTTACCTAGTCTCCTTTTATGTACATTCACAGTACGGAAAAATCTTTAACCAACACTGCAGTGACCTTTATGGGTGTTCGATTCTTAAAGGACTCATTTACATACTGTTGTGAGGAACTAAAAAGAGCGACTGACAAGTTGAGATAAGGTTAAATGAGAGGAGATGTGATGCTAGAGGATATTATATACAAATGACAGGGAGGAGATAAAAAAAAAAAGACAGAACAGAGTGAGATGAGGGAAGCATTTGTCCACCTCATAGGTTGTGTCCTCAGAGCCGTCTTCAAGCTCTCAATGGTTTTGTTCCTCTCTTCCTCATCTTCTTTCTCCAGAGCGAGGAGCGTCTTTCTCTGTTCAGCAACCAAATTAAACATCAGAAATACCTGAATCAGTAGTACTAAATCAAATCAAACTAAAGTGAATCTAATTTTGAAATGAATTCCCAGAGGGCAAAATACTAGGTTTAGTTAAAAAGCAAAAAAGCTGCTTCTTGGTTTTTATTATGACAAACTGTCAAAAGATGATGAAGATGCAGATGCAGTAGGTGGGGGACAGTATGTGGACAATCACAGTATTATATAATTTAATTATTTAATTATTAACTGTTCTATTGTATTCCTAATGAATGCAAGAACTTTTTTTTTTTTTTTTATAATTTACAGATTTGTCTCAGAGGGCTTTATGGATAAAGAAAACTCTTTAATAAGGAAAAGAAAAACCTCAAGAGAAGCAAGAGAAGGATGATTCCCTCTTCCAGCACTGTTTTGTAACCATTTCTAAATCCAAAAAAGAATAAATGAAGTTAATGTTATTACTTACAGCTGCCATTGAATTGAGCTGATCAATGTAGTATTCTGGCCAACTGGTTGCACTTTTGTTTTCTTCTTGTTCCTGAAAAACAGAAAATAACAAGGAATGAACGATGCTGTGAAGAGATCCAGGTAGGCTTGGTTTTTAACAAGTCACCCAATGCTAAGAGAAAAAAGAACATGAGGTAAGTTCATTAGAAAAACGTGTTGTATTGTGGAATTAAAAAATGTTTCAGAAGAAGTTGGACTTGAAGGAAATATTTCAGAAAGTCACATGAAGGGAAGAGTTGTTATTTGGTTCATGTCACATGTTTGAATACATCAAAGTGAAACTGCAAACCAGATGGAGAACTTTGAAAGACATGAAGCATACAAACAGCAACAAACACAGAGGGAACAGAAGGCCCAAGGAATAAATGGACACAAATGTAGCAGGGACGCAAAGTGGGGCGACACAGATATCCAGCCCATTTTATCATCAAACGCTTTGCTGAATTTCAGGAGGTGGTGCTGAAAAAGAGAGCACAGCTGCTTGAGAAAATCTTGAGATTAGCAAATGAACGTTAAAACTGTGGATTAACTACATGGCCTGATTTATGCTGAGATTAATCTCCTGACAGGCACGTTTGTGTTACAAGTGAAAAAGGAAAAAAAATCTGCAAGACATTTCTTAGATGATTTAATTTTCTAACTCAAGGGAAAACACTGAGGATAAAATGACTTGACCATGAACTTGGCTTGTACATAAAAGGCCCCCCGGCTTTCATTTTAACTCTCGCTCCATTAAGCTCAAGCGAGCTGTGACCATCAGAAACTAATTGGGCGTCCGTTAATAAAGCGGCCGACAGAGACTTGGCTGCCCTGAAAGAAACTGCGGGCCTTGGCTGGTCTGCAGGGATCGTGCAGCGACAGGAAGGACTGATCCTGCTGTTCCACTCAAGGCCGGTGCCAGCCTGACCAGGCGGGTGCTGGAAGAAGTTCAGTCCATAAGCGGAGCAGACGCAGAGGTGGGACCATTTCCTTTTGCATCTTAAATAGTTCATCTTTCAACTCGGACGTCAGCATGCTGAGATGTCTCCAGTTTATTTAGGGTCGTGATGAGAGAGAAAAGTGGGGAGATTATTTCTGGAAGTTTATTTTTTTCCACATTTGAGAAAGTAAAGATCAAAGGCACGTTAGGAAACAGGAATCAATCGCAGTTATTTAGGGGTGAAAGGACAGCCTGCTTGAAAGAAAAGTTAAGTTACAGCTCTGTCCTCTCAGAAATTAAAGTTGTTTTTTTTTAATGATATTTGAAACCTAACTACAAAATCTCTGATAACAACCAGATCAGTAAATCTGCTTCTTGGCAGATGATGTAACCTAGAAGAGAGCTGACAAGGAGGAGGAAGAAGATTGATTCTCTGCAGCATGATTTCATCAGTTCAGGTGCCCGGCCAAACCAAACAGCTAAAGCTTTGCTGCTTTGACGGACTTATCTCCCCCCGGCTTCTGAAGCCAAGAAACGACTGCAAAAAAAAGCACGGCCTCATCACTGGTGCCCTGATAATGACCCCACCTTCCTCCTTATCACCCCTCTACACACACATATATACACAAAAGCTGCACCTGTGGAAGTGAAGCCTTCCTGTTTTCTTTGGACAACCGACCGCTTCCTTTGCCTCTTTTCTCCACACACCCACACACCCACACACACACACACACACACACACACCCACGCCTTCCTCTCTGAGCTCAGATGGTGGGTTTGTATCTGTCTGGGTCGTGGCCAGAGCCTGCTGCCGAGTCAGCAATATATTGATGTCTTTCTGTCACTCCTTCCGCTCTCTGCTGTGCAGGTCGATGCTGTACATAAAGATTTTGTTCCATCAAATCCTCCCCAACCTTCCCAGCATCACTGAAACAACCCTGCACACTCTTTGGAAAGCTGAACATAGGCGGAGCAACATTTTTGGGGTTTATTTTCAAAACGCCTTATGAGGCTACTTTGGGCCCAGAGACTACTCGTAATAAGGCCACTAATTTGGGACACAGCAGAAACGGGAGCAGACACCGTGCTGTTTCCATTTCCACTATCACTCGCCTTGTTGCTGCTGGCTGGTGGATGCTGTGTGCAGCCAAAACAAAGTGAGTTTCAGCTGAAAAGGGATAGTTCGTTGTGGCTTGTAATGTAGCTATTTAGGCCTCTTATCATAGTCATTGACTCCAAAATACTCAAAACCTACTAATTCTGCATTATAATGAGTTGCCGCCATGAATACACAATATGGGCAAACACGCAAATCTTTAAAGGAATAGTTTAGTATTTTGTGAAATATGCTTACATATTCACTTTCCTTGTGAGAGATAGATGAGAAGATAGTTACCACTCTAATGTCTGTATAGTACATATGAAGCTATAGCTAATCCAGTTACCTTAGCTTAGCATAAAAACTGCGAACAGGGGAAAAACAGCTAGCTTGGCTCTGTCCAGAAGTAAAAAAGATCTGCCAACCAGCACCTCTAAAGCTCACTTAACATATTTGTTCAATCCAGACATAAACATAAACACGTCAATATAAAAAGAAAAGAAAAAAATAAATTACGCATTACACATTGAAAACATATTTTTTTCATTCATATTTAAACTGTCTGGGCTAAATTTGAGATAAGATGGGTTTTTGCACTTTTGCCTTTCTGCAGCTTTTCTGCAGAGCTTTACCGTGAACTGCCATGCAAACTACCCATCAATCACAGTAAATCCCAATAATCCTCACATCCAGTATGTAACCGGATGTAGGAAAGCTTTCATAAATCTGTATGCCCTGTCTGCATATTAGTCAGGACAGGATATCCCTCACACTCATACCTATGGCCTTGAGAAACACTGCCGTACTAGGCACATTCAGTGGTGGCTGGAAAGCTCAACTCTAGTTGATCTAAACTAAAGCAGGCATCTGTGTTTTCCTGCATGCGGAGGAGGAATTAATATACAGGGAAAGAAGAATCAGCTGACAGTCCTTCAATCATGAAGACAGGACTCAATGAAATATGACACTGTCACACAGTGGTGGAGTATGTTCTGACTACACGAATGCTTTGATAGGACAGGTGTATTATCAAAAAAGAGAAACCGCATGATTAAAAAAAAATCCTCCCTTTAAGGAAATGTGCCAAGCTCTTTGTTTTTGAATCAGGGAGGACAATCAAACAATGAGACAAGAACATTATAGTCTAGGAGAAAATACGCTCTTTGAAACAAGACCCTACTTGTGAATTTAGTCTTGCAATATATTGTGTACTTTATAATTCCCGACACTATCCTATCTGTTGGTGGATTATCTAATGGAACAGGCTGAATTTAGCTTTGTCTTACTCCCTCTCCTAATGCCTATTTTTATATCCACCTTGTGTAACATTCACATATGTACAGATGTTCTTTGTAGTGAAGAACAGGAAAGTGACTGTAATTGAATTGATACATAACAGAATTATATGTTTTCTTTTCATTACAATACATTATATCTGGGTTTATACTGTTTTGTGAGCATGATGCTAAAATGTTCTCTCTGACTTACTGAACACAGCCTTTGAAGCTAATCTCTTGCCAAAATGTTGTTGATACCAATAATACCTGGTGTGGGAGTTCCAGTGCAAAGGCCTCAACATTGTAACGCTTTAAAGCACAATCATATAGTATTTAGACCTTTGTAAAAAAGAAAATCTCCCAAGAGTATTGCATAAAGGATAACTGCTGCATATCACAACCTGTGTATTGGTAAAAGCTTAGTTTCATTGGCGGCGTAGGGGTGTAAGATGCTGACCATGTAATCCTAATGTCTCTCTCTTTCTCCTCATTTACAATCAGCTCTTTACTGTGTACCAGAGGTGGGACCAAGTCATTGTTTTACAAGTCCTAAGTAATTCTCAAGTCCCAAATCAAGTCTCAAGTCAAGACTGACATGTCCATAGTCAAGTCTCTGTCTGGTAACAAGTCTTTGAGTTTGAGTCCTAAACAAGTCATAATGTGCTCTCTCACCAAATTTAGTACCATTTTGTATTTTTTAACAAGATTTAAAAATGAAAAAAGGTGCAGTTTCACACAACAAATGTAATTTCATTTAATGTATTAAATGAAGTGTTGATGTGCTGCATACATTTTTTTCAATATCATAATTTATATTTGGGCTAGGGGAGGGTATCAAGTCAATTTGAGTCAAAAGGCTGAAGTCCAAGTGAAGTCACGAGTCATTGGTGTTAAAGTCAAAGTGGAGTCTTTTTTGATTTTGTCAAGTCATCATATTTGTGACTCGAGTCCACATCTCTGCTGTGGAACATCTAATAAGAGGCAAAACACAGTTATATATAAATAATAAAAAACAAAACCTGTAACCATACATTGATGACATAACATTTGGGCATCAGTTCATCCACCGGCACAAATGGATAATGCTTCCTGCTATACAAAACTTCTTGCCCTGAATTTTAATGTGTGTGTTTTCATCTTCAGGTATCAACAAATCAATGAGAGAGGAGATTACATAAACTTGGCAGCTCGGATATATGCAGCAAAAGCAGCCAGTCGGCAGCCAGTCGGCAGCAAGCCTGCGGAAGCTGATGTGAAGTTTGACATAAAGCACATGGGAATCTTTTACCTTCTTCTTGCTACAGTAGATTTGCCATTTCTTCTCTGCAGGCAGGGCGAACATGGCTTCCCTGTGTTTCTCTGTAAGGTCCAGCTCATCCTGCAAAGTGGGAAAGAAATAGCAGAAAGGGTTAAGAAATGTTGGTGAGGAGGGTTCAAAGGAAGAGAAAAAGCTATTATGTCTTCACAATCCTTTATAATCATTAAATAATCTTTGATAAAGAGAGCATCATTCTCAAAACATAGCTCACAGATTACAGACTACCCGGGTATCAAACCATCACACTGCAAATTTTATTTAGTTTTCCCCCAAAACAAAAACATGTGAGTAGTTGCATCTCGGTTCGAGATCGGTTTGTGCTAAATCTCTTCATGATCAGTGGGATATCACCGTAAGTTCAATATGACTCTGAATCAAATCAGATGTCTTTGCAGGCTTTGGACGTGTGAGTAATGGTCGGGGGTGGGGGTGGGGTAAGGCGTGGTCTGTCTCCTCAACATGTGGTAACAAACATCTGGAGACAACATGCATCACTAGAGGAGCACAAAGGGTGCTGCTGGGAAGTTACCAAATACCAGAGAGCATTTCACCATTTTGACAATGTCTGAAGGCAATTAAAACCTATCAGCAAGTTTTAATTTGAGCTTTCACATGTCAAGAGCACAGAACAGGCATTTAAGTGGGGGTTAGGACATCAGTATTCTACATCATAGCATTTTAAAGGCAGTAGCGGACACAATTAATTCTAAATTAGTGTAGAAAAGTATACGTTTTCTGTGCTTTATTGTGAGTTAATCAAATCTTAAGGCAATTATGTTAAATGAGCTTCATGTGGAAGAAGGAGAAAGTCATGAGGAGGCTTTTAAACAATTTCGTTCCAGGAGGCAACACAGTAGGTAGTGTAAACTCAAGTCTAAATGCAGGTTTATTTAGTTTATTAGTTGCTATTTAAGCAACAAATGGAGATTAAGCTAATGTGGTTTACCCAACAGACTGACCGCTAAAGGTTTTATAGTAACTGCTCATCGTGGGAATTGTTTGAGGATGTTCTTTGCTTAAGCCATCAAGGCCTGTGAATCAATATGTGCAATGATCAAATGTAGTAAAAAGGTTGTGTGGACTATTGATTGGTCTCATGAATGGGAAAAGGGCAACTAATTCAATTGTGTGTTTTATAAATGGCAGATATAAGTTTTATGTTTGTATGATTTGTTATTAATGTTCTGTCTGACTACGAGTGAGAGTGTCTTGGCCTCTGATATGTAGGATGAGAAAAGAAGCTTTACCTTGACTAGCAAATTTTTAGAAAACTCTTTCAAAATAACCTCAAAGTTCAAAGGTCGGGTTTAATTGATCACAAGAGAGCAGATGGCCCCAACTTATTCCACAACGTGAGTCTTTTTTCCAGCAAGCCCATCCCGATTATACACGCACATGATGGCTCACACTGGGTGAAAAGACAAGCACGTGGCTGTTTTCATTTGGCAAACAGAGCAACTGAAAGCCTCCTTGTTGTCACACTCAACTTACTCAATTATGTCTTCATAAAGGGCGGTAGACAAAAACAAGCAATTAGCAGATGGAGGAGGCAGAGAGTTCCTGAATGAGGCCCATTGATGTGCAAAAATGTCATGCTTAGATTACTGTGGCAACCATGGGAGAGGAAAATGGGGCAGGAGAGGAGAGGAGAGCACGACAAATTCGAAGTGACAATAAGACAGAGACAGAATATCAGCCTGGCCCTGTAACTCACGAGACAGTGTAAACCTGGAGGAAGTGAATTTTTGTTTGTGAATCTCTTAAAATGTACAGTGTAAACAATGAGGTAGGTTATATTTTAAAGGCATCTTTTGAGTTAAAATGTTGAAATGTCTGCTATGCATTGTGTAAACACAAAGATTTGAATTATCTTGTAAATTCTGGAAAAACATTATTAGGTCCTAGTATTTCAGACTTAATAATTATCTTCCATTCTCCTCCATTTATAACACAGAATGGTTTTAAGATTATTATATTAACTGAACAAAGAGCTGTATTTCCAAACTACACAAAACAAAAACAAAACATTATCTTAACTATGTGTTAGTCCGTCTCTCAGTTGTTTGAGACATTACTACCCTGTATGTGGCTCACAATGGCTCACAAATATACATTTAAAAAAGCTAAGCTCAATAATTCCCTAAAACAGCTGAGCAAGTTTTTGGCAAACATTACAGAAAGCAGGAAACACATTTGTTGTAGACTATTTTCAGCAGTGGATTTATACACATTTGGTGCACAAGTGAGTATTTACAGCAGCAGGACCTGTGGGGTTAACTCAAAATAAACTACAGTGGTAGTACAATGGTAATAAAGTGCATTTAATAGTTTTTTGAACAACAATGGAGGTCTAAGGCTTCAGCCACTACTTGTTAATAGGATCAATCCATTGTCAGTTTTGGTCTTTTCAATGTTATGTTGACATTAAGGAAAATATAGTATATAACCGACAAATCCTTTGAGTCAAATCTAAAACGATATTTACAGAAACATGAAAAAAATACTTCTTTTGAAGTCTTACCATTACTTTGGCCTGGATTCAGCAAAAAAAAGGAGAATAATGTCTTACCACCAACTCGGAAAACATGCCATCCAGCTCGTCATATCCTGGCATCGGCAGTGCCGGCTCCATGGTCTGTAGGGCAAAGTCCTCCCGGAGCCTGTAGGTGATCTCCGGATGATCGTTGCGGTTAAAACAGCAGAAGATGAAGGAGAGGCCACCGCGGCCACTGCCGGTGCGTTTCCGAGGAGCCATGGCTGTCCGATGCGTCCTGCTGGTCAGGTAGGGAGGGTGGGAGGCTCTTTGAGGGCCTCTTTACAGCCTCCTCCACCTTAGAGTGTGGCCTCCGTCAGAGAGTGCTGTAAACACAGAGAAGGCACAATGAGTTTTCAACGCTTACAACCAAACCCTCTGCTCCTGGTAACGGTTAATGATGTAGGGTCATACGTTTTGAAGGGAAAGTATCTGTGGGGGCAAGCACTGAAAGATTCAATTATATTGTTTCCACAATAGGGCCCCGTCAGAGTGTGATGTTTGAAATGGAGACCATAATTTGCCAGGATTAGTGTATTCAGGTCTTTTCATCTCCCCTTCCTTCCCATTCAGCATGGGTGTCCCTCTAAAGACTTAACGAGCAATGATTAGAGGGGTGTGTTTACAATGACCATGGTGAGGGGTGTGTGAGGCTTATTGTTGTTTTGAAGACTTGGTCATGACAGGCAAAGAGGAAAAAAAGGCCTTCTTGAAAACCTTCAGACGAGTCATTATAAGGTGTGTCTCTAAGTCGGCCAGCGTGTTGTTCAAATGGCAGGTGAGATTTGCAACATTTGCAGCCTACGTCAAACTTAAACATACGTTGCCTCAATCGTCCTGATAATCATCGTCACCAAACTCTCCCTTCCAGACTCTCTGACTTAGCAGACAAGATTGCACATTTGGCCTGGTGTCTAACAGCTGCAATTTTATAAGTAATGTAGGAAATGTGTGCAATCCTGCTGGACTATTGCCCCACCTGCTCTGCTTCTTTATCACAGATAAAAATAAACAGAGATCAGCTGTCATAAATGAGCAGCATTGACGAGGAGGGTTGAGCACATAACAGAAAGTTTTGTCTTGTCAGTTGAAGTTCCAGTTTGCACCAAAGCATCACCATTTAAGTAGATCTATAATGCTTGATAGTATTTTTGGGTTTTAGTCATGCTAGCAGTGGGACTCTAGGGATGGCAATGTCAGGGTGTCAGCTGTTCCTCCACTTTGGTGCAAAAAGATCTCAACAACTCAATGTATTGCCATGAAATCTTGTGCAGACATTTGTGGTCATCTGAGGATGAATCCTACTGACTTTGGTAATCCTCTGACTTCATCTATTGCCACCTTGAGTTTGCGGAAGGACAAATGTCTCGGTAAATAAACAAATACTATTTCTAATAACTTTGATGGTCTATTAACTTTTCATCTCGCGCCACCATCAGGTCAAAATATCAATTTGTCCAACATTATGTTATTTTATAACCAAAATAAAGCGTGTTTAGTGCTAATTAGCAAATGTAAGCATTGCAACACGCAGAACTAAGATGGGGAACATTGTAAACAATATACCTTATGAACATTAGCACGTTAGCATCAATACTGCGAGCATGGTGCCATGATAGCTTTTGAATTCAGCTCATAGTACCGATATGCCAAAGTACAAAGCTGTACGTGACAGTAGATGCTTGGTCATTTTTACAGCCCTTACAGCATGTCATCTCTTACCTCAGAGGGTATTTTGACCTGAGATCAGACTGAACTGTCCGTGGAGCATTTGGTTCTCTGGTTACAGCTATTCAATAAGAGTGACAGTTTACTCTGTTGCTAAAGCTAACAACAGGTAAGATTTTGAGACAAGACAGACCTCGAATCTAACAAAAACATGAACAGGTTTCATTTATAACAACACACTAATTCATACCAAACACACAGAGTCCGAGAGGAGAGACAGCTGCAGTGAACGCGCCCTCAGACCTGCTGGCTCCACTCCAAACAGGAATAATGGAATAAAGTGTACAAGATGTCTGTGCTGTCTGGCAAATAAAGACGTGGTGTCGTCAGCATGTCACAAACACAGCTCTACAGTCTCCGGCCCCACTGTGCAGAGCGGTGTGATGCCAAGTATCATAACCACAGAGGCAGCGCTGACCTGAAGGAATTTCTGGACATCTTTTCCTGGTGACTGACCGCCCGCTGAGCACAACCAAGTTCACTTGACCTTTCCCAGTGTTTTCCTATAAGTCAGAGGTTTTGCCCTGACAAACGTATCATAAGCAGTGCGATGGCAGTCTAAATTTAACATGGTCAGATCACGTACTTCACTGTAATCGAAGATTGCGGGTCAGTATGGTCAGTGGACTGAGGCAACAGACGACAGCTAAAGTTATCTCTTCCAAAAGGGAAAGTGAGGACATTTCCTGTGGCAACTTTGTCTAAGTAGAGTCAAATTATAAAAACTCAATTTTGTGGTCTACCTAAATAAAGCCTGATGCCATCACTTGCCCATTTTAGTCTTTTTTTTTTGCTTCATCGGTGTTTCCTCTATCCAGCAGCTGTACTTTTCCAATTTGGAACAGTCGCTAGATTTGTCGGCAGCTTTTTCCAGCCACCACAAAATCCTGAAATCTGTCGTATTATTATTTTCATATGTCACCCTAAAGTTTTAATCTTTGTGTCTCTCTTTAACATGCTGATGCTAACAAAAACAAAAGAAGCAAATCCCAAAAAAGGAATATAATCACATAAACACTTATATAACAAAATAATATTTTGTTTCAGTCGATAAAGTTTGTGCAATAAACTTTTAATCAGACACACTAGACATTAATCCAAATTACCACTTGTGTCTTATGGTGGCCAACAAACTAGTAATAACTGGGCAAACTGTCAAACAAAACTAACAATAGCCAAATTTATCCCATTCCTAGAATAATCAGTCTTTCCTAAAGAAAGACAGCAAATGTACCCGTATATACAAAGTCCAGTCAATGAAAAAGCTTAGTGTACTACATAGACAAGGCACCTGAGGCCACACGTGGGATAAAGTACACAGCAGCTCACTCTAACTAACACACTGAATAGTGTATTTATTTTGACACATCCTTGACTTTTCCAAATAGACTACCCCAGGCCTCGGCAGCAGCTGCTTGGCTTCATGCTCACCATCTATTCTAGCATGAAGGGAAGAAGCCATTCAAAGCCCTCTTTGACCATATTAGTCCACAAAACTGCCCATCTTTTCCATTAGCTAAAGCGAGCTGTAAACTTTGTATAAACCCGTGAGCCAGAATGCGACAGCGTTGGCCCTCCTCCAGCTAAAGGAACCTGTGGATGCGCCACGGCTTGGCCAAGTGGGGAGGGTCAAAAGAGGCAGATGACAAGGGCAAAGAGGGGCTGCGTTTTTAAGGACTGAACATGCAGACAGTGTCACTGATAAGACTTTGTGTTTGTGCTGTAATGATTAACCTGTGAGACCTGAGTGCTCCGACATTAGCCCCAGGAGGTTGTCTGTCAGACGGTCAAGGTTCCCAACATAACAGGCCTGTTGGAACAAGATGACATTCTTCTCATAGCCAGGTGAGCCTTGTGACCCTGAACAACATCCACACAACAACAACACCTTCCACTGTCACCTGCTCTGGGAAGGAACACGGATTACTTCAAATCCCAAAATCTAGCACGCACATCTCAGCCAGTCAAACTGACCCCTAGTTGTCCAAGCAGTAAAAGTTAGAATTAATAGTAGGCATGTTGACGATAATATTATGTAACAGCTGCACTTTCCAAATAATACAAAAGAATGCAGTTAATACTGTTGATTGACTCCTTGACTGTGCAGAAGAAACATCATGACTCTTGTAGTCCACTGCTTACAGTACGATACAGATTCTTTTGTACCCCTTCATTCATACACATCCAATAATTAAACCCGCCCACCCATATTCTCACAAACACTCCTCTCTTTGTCTGTAGTAGATTTCTATCCTTGGATAGCCTTGTTGTTTTCGTGACCATGTGGTTTGGCGGGTGACCTGGACTGAGGCCAGACTGTAAAAAGATTCCCAGTGTTTGTAAAGTGAGTGTGAGCCCGTGCATGGTGCCTGTTCAAGAACTCTACATTAAACCTGCTCAAGTGTCAGGTATGCTGGAGAAAAGGCAGAAGCCGAGAGGAGCATCTTAAGCTAAACACAGAGAGAGGCTTGTGTTACGAAACACGTGCAAAGACGAATGGAGAACAGAGAGCAAGAATTTGAAGATGACACTTTTCATCCAGCTGTCTTCTTCCAGCTTTGCCAAGGCCTTGTTTCCTTTTCTCTCATTTTCTGTCCATTTTACTCATCTCTTTAGCCTCCCCTGCTGTTCAAGCTTACTTTAAGATTTATATTATTTGTTGAATGGCATCAGCAATGACGGTACATGGTGTGCAGTGGAAGTAATGTGGGTTAGACTTCTCTGGTGCTGCTTCGGTCGCTTATACACATTAGACAATCAACAGTGGCCTCCCTTGGTACACAATCTTAATTGCCCAAAAATTGGCCGTCACAGTGCAACGAAGTGAAATCTGTGGTGTTGGTAACCAAAGACTTAAAAACAGATAATAACATCAAGTCAAAATACTCAAAATTACTCATGAAAAATGGTTCTATAGCAAACAAAATCCAATTAAAAACATACAACCTAAAAGTAATTATGTGGCCTGTCATAAAAAAACTTCTGTTATAAATATGTGGATTTTGTGTATAATTTATAAATACTAACAGGTCAACCTAACAAGCCAAAATGCGCCTCACTCGGGAGCAGGAATTCAACCTTGGAGAGAGAACAGAGTGGACAGTAGTGTATTGAAAACAGATGTGTGAAATACCTTCTTCTGTAACAGCTGGCATCTCTCAGCAGTTTCTGGAGATTTACTTTTTTGTAATGTTTGAGATCAGCTGCTCTGGCTGCCTAAATCATCAGCCATGCTAATGTTGGTCAGGACAAGACACAGCAAAATAGCTCTTCTATGTTTGTAATTGAGAAAAGTGAAGTAGTTCTACAGCCAATGGCAACGGAGGAAACCTTGAATGACAATCAATACAAGAACCCCATATTAGGCAGCAAGGTTGCTTCACCTTGACTGTATGTCTCGCTTGGACTCAAGAGCTATAATTAACAATAATCTACTTTTTTGAAATGTCCTTGAGCAAGACACATACTCCCTCCCTGCTCCAGGGACTTTGTTCTGCCTGACCCTGTCCTCTGACCTTTTTGTGGAGTGAACAAATGAAAAGGAAATTTGCCAAGAAAAATTGTATCAATAAAGAGCCACGCTACTATTATTATCATC